CTTGAGAAGGCATATGACACAACTTGGAGGTATAATATTTTAGCCCAAGCCCACTCCTTAGGCCTTCGAGGCAATCTACCATCCTTCCTTAAGAACTTTTTAACTAACAGGCATTTCCGTGTTCGGGTTACTAATGTGCTCTCCCCGGACTTTATCCAAACTGAAGGTGTCCCCCAGGGATGTGTTCTGAGCACAACACTTTTTCTCCTTGCTATTAATGATTTGGCCTCTAGTCTTCCATCAAATATTTGGTCATCACTCTATGTTGATGACTTCGCTATTGCCTGTGCAGGCGCTGAATGTCACCTCCTTACAGTTTCTCTCCAGCATGCAGTCGACCGTGTTTCCAATTGGGCCACCACACGTGGGTTTAAATTTTCCAGCACTAAAACCCACCAAATTACTTTCACTAGACGCTCTGTCAAATCCGATCATCCTTTGTACCTCTATGGCTCCCGTATCCCTGAACGTGATACAGTCAAGTTTCTGGGCCTACTCTTTGATTGTAGGTTATCCTGGAAACCTCACATTACCTCTCTGAAGGCAACTTGTCACAGCCGGCTGAACCTTCTTAAAACCCTTGCTCATCTTTCATGGGGAGCTGATCGTCGAACCCTCCTTCGCCTACATTCCACCCTTATCTTATCGAAACTTGATTATGGTGACCAGATCTATTCAGCGGCATCTCCTGCTACTCTCTCTAGCCTTAACCCCATTCATCACCAAGGATTACGTTTATGCCTTGGTGCTTTTCGCTCTTCCCCTGTCGAGAGCCTCTATGCAGAAGCGAACGTTCCATCCTTATCCGATCGCCGTGATGCCCATTGCCTTCGCTACTATGTACGCTCTCATGATCTCCGCAATCCTTCCATTTATAGAATGGTCACTGATATTAGTAGACATTCTTTATTTGTTCGTCGCCCGTTTACTCCGTCCCTTCTCTCTTCGCCTTCATTCGCTCGTCTTCTCTTCAATTACCACCTTTCTATGTACATGTAGCATCTCACTTTTCCCTACCCCCCTGGAAAGTTCCAGCTGTTCGAGTCTGTTCTTTCTCTCTCCCTTGCTCGAAAGCCCAACTGTCTACGGTCGCTTCCCGCTCTCTTTTTCTTGACCACTTTCACTCTCATTCTCATGCCATTGCTGTGTACACAGTTGGCTCTAAGTCTTCTGACGGCGTAGGATTCGCAGCAGTGTTTCCTGACAAGCGTCGTACAAGAGCATTTACTATCTTCGGCTAGTATTTTTACTGCTGAATTGTATGCCATCCTTACAGCACTTATCCGTATTGCATCTATGCCTGTGTCATCATTTCTGGTTGTCTGACTCCCTTAGTGCTTTACAGGCTATACAGAAATTTGATACACCTCACCCCTTAGTCCTCCGTATCCAACTTTGGCTACGCCGTATCTTTACCAAGCATAAAGATATTGTTTTTTGTTGGGTCCCTGGTCATGTTGACGTACAGGGCAATGAACAGGCAGACACTGCTGCGCGGTCAGCAGTACATGACCTACCAGTTTCATGTAGAGGTATTCCATTTACGGACTATTTTGCTGCAATATCTTCCCAACTTCACACCCGTTGGCAACAACGTTTGTCTACTATGCTTGGCAACAAACTTCAATCTATTAAACCGAGTATAGGTTACTGGCCATCTTCTTATCATCAGTGTCGAGGTTGGGAGACTACTCTCTCCCGTCTTCGCATTGGCCATACTAGTCTTACTCATGGATATCTCACGGAGAGGCGCCCTGCTCCTCTCTGTGAGAATTGCCAAGTTCCATTATCAGTCAGCCACATTCTGTTGGACTGCTCACTTTATTAACGAGCACGCAGAATTTACCTCCGTCGTCGTCTTCGCTCTGCTGCTCTCTCTCTACCTTCCCTTCTCGCTGATGGACCCACCTTTCATCCAGACTCTCTCATTGACTTTTTGACAACAACCGACTTCACATTATTATTATAATCAAGGGGGAAGCGCTAAACCCGGAGGATTATACAGCGCCTGGGGGGGGGATGTGGAAGGCATTCAGGCTTAATTCGGGGAACTGGAGCACAGATCCAATTCCCTAAATCAAGAGCCCCTCACCAACATCAAGGAACCTTCCTTGAGGGGACTTACTTCACAAATTCTGATACCCTCAGCCCTTTCTACTTCAATCTCTTGCTACCCTCTACCCCCGTACTATCCCCTGCCCCACTGTTTTCTGTAACCTACTGATCATCCCTCCTCCCTTCTGCCATCCAATACCCTCGCTTCCTTCCCTACCCTGCAGCTCTGTATAGCCTTTGTGGCTTAGCGATTCTTTTTGATTATAATAATAATACAAAAAATAATGGTTTGATATAGATAATATTTGTAAGGAAGCATTAACCTTGTATGGTTCATACAATACTGGTGTACGAGGGAATCTGTATAGATCCAAGGAAGGTTAGCTGAAATTCCCTGGCTCAAGATACCCTCTCCCTACACATTTACATATGTACTACACTGAATAACTTTTGAGTTTAGTGCTTAATTCAATTATGTACCATACTTGTCATATCGATCTGTTGGAGTCTGAGCAGGGTAATATTTAGTGAAGGGATTCAGGGAAACCGGTTATTTTATATAACCTCACTCAAGTCCTGGAAATGGGAAGTACAATGCCTGCACTCTAAAGGAAGAGTTTGGGATATTGGCAGTTTGGAGAGATATGGTGTATTTTTATACGTATATACTTCTAAACTGTTGTATTCTAGGCACCTCTGCCAAAAACATAGATTGTGTGTGAGTGAGGTGAAAGTGTTGAATGATGAAAGTATTTTCTTTTTGGGAATTTTCTTTCTCTTTGGGTCACCCTGCCTCGGTGGGAGACGGCCAACTTGTTAAAAAAAAAAAATCATAATTTTTTCTGCTCAATATTTTTCACTAATTAGCCGTATGACCATTACAAGTTCAGCACATATGTTTATGATGATTCACCAATTTAAATTGTTATTAAAATCAGAACTAAATGTTAAACCCACAAGGATCATACGTTGCTGCTCACCAATTTTAAAACGTACAGCAAACTGTTTAGACAAGAGTAATGGGGAGAGTGGATAGCCACTAATGGCATTTTTGGTAGCTAATTTTTTATTTGTAACAGTAACTGTGTCCATTGTTGCAAAATCTACTGACCTAGTGGATTTATACATATGTGCTTCTAAACTGTTGTGTTCTGGGCACCTCTGCAAAAACAGTGATTGTGTATGAGTAGGCATATGATAGAGTGAATAGGGAAGCAATGTGGCAGATGTTGCAAGTATATGGAATAGGTGGTAAGTTACTAAATGCTGTAAAGAGTTTTTATGAAGTTAGTGGCTGTATAGTCCTTGTGGCTTAGTGCTTCTTAGACAGGGAAGTGTAATGTCACCATGGTTGTTTAATATATTTATAGATGGGGTTGTATAAGAAGTAAATGCTAGGGTGTTCGGAAGAGGGGTGGGATTAAATTATGGGAAAGAAAATACAAAATGGGAAGTGACAGTTACTTTTTGCTGATGATACTGTGATTATGGGAGATTCTAAAGAACAACTTGCTGTATAGCCCTTGCGGCTTAGCGCTTCTCTTTGATAATAATAAAGAACAATTGCAAAGGTTAGTGGACGAATTTGGGAGTGTGTGTAAAGGTAGAAAGTTGAAAGTGAACATAGAAAAGAGTAAGGTGATGAAAGTATCAAATGATTTAGATAAAGAAAAATTGGATATCAAATTGGGGAGTAGTATGGAAGTGGTGAATGTTTTCAGATATTTGGGAGTTGACGTGTCAGCGGATGGATTTATGAAGGATGAGGTTAATCATAGAATTGATGAAGGAAAAAAGGTGAGTGGTGCATTGAGGTATATGTGGAGGCAAAAAATGTATCTATGAGGCAAAGAAGGGAATGGATGAAAGTATAGTGAGTACCAACACTCTTATATGGTGTGAAGCTTGGTTTGTAATTGCTGGCAGGAGGTGCGCGTTGGAGGTCAGTGGAGATGTCCTGTCTAAGGGCAATGTGTGATGTAAATATTATGCAGAAAATTCGGAGTTTGGAAAGTAGGAGGTGTGGAGTTAATAAAAGTATTAGTCAGAGCGCTGAAGAGGGTTTGTTGAGGTGGTTTGGCCATTTAGAGAGAATGGATCAAAGTAGAATGACATGGAGAGCATATAAATCTGTAGGGGAAGGAAGGTGGGGTAGGGGTCGTCCTTGAAAAGGTTGGAGGGAGGGAGTAAAGGTGGTGTTGTGGGCGAGGGGTTTGGACTTCCAGCAAGTGTGCGTGAGCCTGTTAGATAGGAGTGAATGGAGACGAATGGTATTTGGGACCTGACGAGCTGTTGGAGTGTGAGCAGAGTAATATTTAGTGAAGGGATTCGGGAAAACCGGTTATTTTATATAACCGGACTTGAGTCCTGGAAATGGGAAGTACAGTGCCTGCACTCTAGAGGAGGAGTTTGAGATATTGGCAGTTTGGAGGGATATACAGTGGAACCTCAAAAATCGAACTGCTCCCAACTCAACCAATTATGTAAGTGTATTTTTGTAAGTGCTTTTATAAGTTTATTTTTGAGGGTCTGAAATGGACTAATCTAATTTACATTATTCCTGATGGGAATAAATTCGTTTGGTAGCGACACTTGAACAGCCTTCTGGACCGAAGAAAGTTCTATATTTGAGGTTCCACTGTATTGTGTATTTTTATATGTATAGATGTACTTCTAAACTTGTATTCTGGGCACCTGTGCAAAAACAGTGATTATGTGTGAGGTGAAAGTGTTGAATGATGATGAAAGTATTTCTTTTTGGGGATTTTTTCTTTCTTTTTGGGTCACCCTGCCTCGGTGGAAGATGACCAACTTGGTTAAAAAAAAAAAAATCTCTAGTCCATTACAATGGAGGGTTTACTGTAATTTTGTACATGTAGTTTCTAGCTTTACACTTAAAAGTTTATCCATATTTAAAAACATTTGTTTTTATAATGAAACAGAAATCAGGGTAACAATTTTATGTTTTTTTGGTTGAGTTACATAGTTGTGTATAAAAATGTATACATTAATTAATCTTTGGAAATATGCATTATGAAAAAGAAAATTATCAAAAATAAAGAGGTACCAGTTGGATTTTATGGATTCATGTCAAAGTACCAGCAATGTTAAAAAATAACAAACTCTTAAATTTAAATAAATAGGACCACAAAAATCCAAGGTGATAATTGATGTATCCTTGGGTAAACAACTAAAAAATGTCCAGATTAATATTGAACTTTATATGGCACTATTCTACCTGGAACAAAGACGAAGCCCCAGAATCCAAAACTGTTACCAGCATAGTAATTACATTCTCTTCTCCAATTTTTTTTTTTTTAGTAAAAACCAAGATGAAAAAAAATTGTAATTTTGAATTAAATGCAAATGATTAATATCAAAAATTTTTTCAGTACCTATCAGTCTACATTAGAATAATTTGTTTATGAAAAGGCACTTTAGGAAATTACCAATATATGTATCATGATTGTTTCCTTTAAATCTTCCTAATTTCTAATGCTCCTAAAATGCAGTAAAACAATTTAAGTAAACCTGAAGGTGATTCTTCATACTTTTACCTTCATTAGAAAATAATTTCAAAATTCAATATGTATATATATAATATTTGAAAACAAAATACTGTACTCACTTTCTAATAAAAACTGCATTGGGTCAAATATTAAGATGAAAAATATAAAACGAGTTGTATATCATTTATATATTAGTGCACTCACAAAATCTGCAATATAGTACCTAGTACTTCTTATAGTGGGATACCATAGTCTTTAATTAAAGGCTTTTTGATGTTAAAATTACTTAATACAGATCCTGAAAGCAACTATATCTTTAGGTAACTTGGTTAAACAATGTGCATTTCTCTAGTTAAACCATAACTAGATTACTATTCCTTTATGCTTCGGAAGAAATGCATACAGTATTTTATCTTTTAATCTGCTATCAGCATGTTCCTAATTGCAGTATCAAAATGGAAATACTTAAAACACCAATCGCTGTTCTATCCTTGTTTTTTCATGCTTCATATACAGTGTAACACTTACTTTTCCCCGTATTTTATTTTAAACTTAGTTTTTCCCTGTATATACATGTATTTTATTCTAAAAAATATAAATACAAAAGTTAAATTAAAACACTTTACTTTACAATGACTAATATTCTCAATAGCAAATTTATTTGTCTTCAAAATGTGACAATAGTACACATCTTATTTGAATGCATTGCTTTATTCTATCAATAAACTCATTCAAAAATGGCATACAAATTATATTTTTTTCTGATTTTGGCAATTTTTTATTAATAAGCTTTCTGACCAACTTTTTAGAAAGTGTTTATTCAATTTACATGTGCAGCAGTCACAAATATACACAAGACTCAAATGATAAAGAAAAAATACTTTGTCCATTTTTTAAATTCTGTAATTAAATTAAAAAGGGCCACATTTATGAATAACAAGTCACAATACCATGGCTGGAACAATTCACCCAAAACCTGCACTTATGAGAGGAACCTTATGATGACATTTCAGTCTGAACTAGACCATTACAATCTGACAACAGTTCAAGACAAACCAAAATGTAATCATAAGGTTTCTCTCCTAAGTGCAGGTTTTTGGTTAATTCTACATTTATCATTATAACAGATGTCTCATATAATGAAAGGAAGGCTGTAAAACTTAGAAGATGTGGTACAATATAAATATTACCCCTATAATACATTAAGAGGTACTTCAAGCACTGGCACTGTAATTAGTACGTAACTATACAATAAAGACGAAAAAATGAAATTACGTAAAGAAATAACAGTGTTTAGTACGATGGTATGCCATTACATTTAATCTTATTTTGTTTAAAATCCCTAGCATGATCCATGTAATATCTGTAACAATTATTAAAAATTTCAGTGTTACTGTGAAACAGGACAAAACAGAAAAAGGAGAGAGAGAGAATGATTTAAGGGAACTGGCTCTAATATGTAAAATAAGAATACATCACTGTTTAAAGTAGTGCATGCACTAAACAGAAAAAAAAATATTTTGTTAATGTAGTTATCTTCAGTTGCTGAAATCTGAATCACCTTCAGTGTCATACCCAAAACCATACAAATCGAAGGGATTATGAAGGAAATCCTGAAAGAGAGAGAAAGTATTTTAGCTTAAAATTAGAGGCATGTACAGGAATGTGATTATATTAAAGCAACATATATCATTAGATAGTCCTGAAGGAAAACCTTTAAGCAATTGCAAGAATTTTTTCTTCCTCTTAGAATTATTTCATTTACAATGAAAGAATTACTCCCTCATCCAATAAAATTCAAATTTGAATGATTTAAGGTAACAAGAACCAAATTTTAGGAACAACTGGCATGTGTAGCTGCCCTATTACTTAAGTTATTAAACCCAATTTCAACATCCTGGAATGGCTTGCATAACTTCCAAACTTCTCAATGGCACAGTTTCAAATGTTCAAAAAAGTTGACTCCTAATTTGGTGATAGTGGAGAGTGCAAAACTTGGGTAGGTGTAAATCTTGCAATTTTGTGTAAAACTGTGACGTTTTGATTACGTATTTTAACCACGATCAAAATATATGCATCTACCTCTGCTGAATGGTTTCAGTATTTAATGGCTTATGCATCTTATGGCCAGGATAGTACCTATTCAGTTTAGTTTGTGAGAGTGCAACTTTGGCTCAGGCAGTGTGTATCCCACAGGCGATGCTCCAAATTTTTTCCCCTCCTGCAAACTGAACTGTGTTAATTTAAAGAATTGTACAAAAATATGCCAAACAAAACCGTGTTAAATGACTGCCTACTGTAGTTGAAAATCGTGTTTAAAGTTGAAACCTTGAGGCCAACTTATCGCTGCACCAGCGATAGCTATACAGATGCACACAAATACTAGTTAAATGAATAAATGAAATCAAACATCAGTTGAATTATTATTATAATCAAAAAGAAGCGCTAAGCCACAAGGGCTATACAGCGCTGCAGGGTAGGGAAGGAAGCAAGGGAATTGGATGGCAGGAGGGAGGGGGGATGATCAGCAGGTTACAGAAAACAGCGGGGCAGGGGATAGTACGGGGTAAGGGTAGCAAGAGATACAAGTAGAAAGGGCTGAAAGTATCAGAATTTGTGAAGTAAGTCAGTCGTTGTCAAAAAGTCAATAAGAGAGTCCGGATGAAAGGTGGGTCATCAGCGAGAAGGGAAGGTAAAGAGAGAGCAGCGGGGCGAAGACGACGACAGAGGTAAATTCTGCGTGCTCGTTGATAAAGTGGGCAGTCCAACAGAATGGGGCCCTGACTGATAATGGGACTTGGCAATTCTCACAGAGAGGAGCAAGACGCCTCTCCATGAGATATCCATGAGTAAGACGAGTATGGCCAATGCGAAGACGGGAGAGAGTAGTCTCCCAACCTCGACACTGGTGATAAGAAGACGGCCAGTAACCTATACTGGGTTTTTAATAGACTGAAGTTTGTTGCCGAGCATAGTAGACCAACGTTGTTCCCAAACGGGTGTGAAGGTGGAAGATTTACAGCAAAATAGTCCGTACATGGAATACCTCTGTAAGAAACTGGTAGGTCATGTACTGTGACCGCGCAGCAGTGTCTGCCTGTTCATTGCCCTGTACGTCAACATGACCAGGGCCCCAACAAAAAAACAATATCTTTATGCTTAGTAAAGATGCGGCGTAGCCAAAGTTGGATACGGAGGACTAAGGGGTGAGGTGTATCAAATTTTTGTATAGCCTGTAAAGCCAAAGGGGAAAGTCCGAGACAACCACAAATGATGACACAGGCATAGATGCAATACGGATAAGTGCTGTAAGGATGGCATATAATTCAGCAGTAAAAATACTAGCTGAAGATAGTAAATGCCCTTTTTACGCGCTGTCCGGAAACAATGCTGCAAATCCTACGCCGTCAGAGACTTAGAGCCATCTGTGTACACAGCAATGGCAGGAATGAGAGTGAAAGTGGTCAAGAAAAAGAGAGCGGGAAGCGACCGTAGACAGTTGGGCTTCGAGCAAGGGAGGGAGAAAAAACAGACTCGAACAGCTGGGACCTCCCAGGGGGGGTAGGGAAAAGGGGAGATGCTACATGTACATAGAAAGGTGGTAGTTGAAGAGAAGACAAGAGCGAATGAAGGCAAAGAGAGAAGGGACGGAGTAAGCGGGGGCGGCGAACAAAAAAAGAATGTCTACTAATATCAGTGGACCATTCTATAAATGGAAGGATTGCGGAGATCATGAAGCGTACATAGTAGCGCAGGCAAGGGGCATCACGGCGATCGGATAAGGATGGAACGTTCGCTTCTGCATAGAGGCTTTCGACAGGGAAGAGCGAAAAGCACCAAGGCATAAACGTAATCCTTGGTGATGAATGGGGTTAAGGCTAGAGAGAGTAGCAGGAGTTTCCCGCTGAATAGATCTGGTCACCATAATCAAGTTTCGATAAAATAAGGGTGGAATGTGGGTTTAAAGGAGGGTTCGACGATCAGCTCCCCACGAAAGATGAGCAAGGTTTTAAGAAGGTTCACCCGGGCTGTGACAAGTTGCCTTCAGAGAGGTAATGTGAGGTTTCCAGGATAAACCTACGATCAAAGAGGAGGCCGGGAAACTTGACTGTATCACGTTCAGGGATACGTGAGCCATAGAGGTACAAAGGATAAATCAGAGATGACAGAGCGTCTAGTGAAGTGTTTTGGTGGGTTTTAGTGCTAAAAAATTTTAAAAACCATGTGTGGTGGCCCAATTGGAAACACGGTCGACTGCATGCTGGAGAGAACTGAAAGGAGGTGACAGTCAGCGCCTGCACAGGCAATAGCAAAGTCATCAACATAGAGTGATGACCAAATTTTTGATGGAAGACTAGAGGCCAAATCTTAATAGCAAGGAGAAAAAGGGGTGTTGTTCAGAACACATCCCTGGGGGACACCTTCAGCTTGGACAAGTCCGGGGAGAGCACTTTTATTAACCCGAACACGGAAATGCCTGTCAGTTAAAAAGTTCTTAAGGAAGGATGGTAAGTTTGCCTCGAAGGCCTAAGGAGTGGGCTTGGCTAAAAATTATACCTCAAGTTGTGTCATATGCCTTCTCAAGGTCAAAAAAATATGGCAATAACGAGTGGTTATTCGCAAAGGCATTACGAAATACGTATCCAAGCGCAGTAAGGGGTCTATGGTAGAACGTCCCTTACGAAAGCCATATTGACGATGGAGAGACTGTTTGTGTGTCTCTAAATACCACACTAAACGTCTATTTACTAGACGTTCCATTATTTTTGCAAACTGCACTGGTAAGAGCAATGGGACGATAGTGGGAGGTTTCATGTCCCGTAGTGCCTGGTTTGCGGAAAAAAGGAAAACAATGGCGGATTTCCACAGCTGTGGAAGAATTTCCTTGTGACCAAATAAGATTGTAAGGTGAAATAGGACTGCAAGGGCTGATGATGTAAATGTTGTAGCATACGAATTGAATGTCGTCGGGGCCCAGCTGCCGATAAATCGACAAGCTGAGAGTGTTGCCTCCAGTTCTTGAAGTGTAAAAGGCACATTATACTGTTCTTCTCTGAGAGAAGAAAAGCCCCAAGGGTGCTAACTCTCTGGCAGACTTTGAGGAAAAAAATGAGGGGCATAGATGGAGTCCCTGAAAAAATTACGGACCAGATGATTGCCAATTTCATTGGCAACATCTAGTGGGTTTGCTATATCAACACCGGCAACCCGCAGACAGGAGCCGGGTCAGGAGAATATTTACCACTCAGTTTTCGTATTTTTTTTCCAGACTGCACTCATAGAGGAAGCAGAGGTGATGGTGGAGACATAATCTCGCCAGCAAGTGCGTTTTAGCGTCACGGATGACCGGCGAGCGATCGCACGCTTCTGTTTAAAATAAAGGGATTTCGCTCTGTGGTTCTATTGTACCGGTACTGCCCCATGCAGCGCTTTAAAAACGTACTGCACGACCCAAAGCAGGAGACCACCAAGGCACGCATTTCTGAGAATGCCTGCCCGAAGTTTGGGGTATAGAATGAGAAGCTGCGGTGAAAACGGAGGACGAGAAGAGGTTGTAAAAGCTCATCGATGGAGGACGAAGAAGGAAACCCCTTTAAAACAGTCAGGTGTGAGTAAAAGGGTTTCCCAAATTTTCCCGATTAAATTGCCAGCGTGGGGTGCGAAGAGGTGGCGAATATTTAAGGGGAAGTAAGAATGATTGGGAAATGATCACTGTCATGTAAGTCCGGGAGAACAGACCAAGTAAAGTCTAATGCGGGGAGGAAAAGAAAACTGAGAGATCGTGCAAGAGAGAGTATGAGTCCGAGGATCAAAATGGGTGTGAGTACCTTTTATTTAAAACATGGAGGGGGTGGGTGGCAAGAAAAGCCTCTAATGATTCCACGGGAATACAGTGAGACCCCCCCCAGAGGAAATGGTGGCATTAAAATCACCAAGTAAACAGAATCGGTGGCGGTAATGACGAAACAAGGAAGGGAAAATCCGGAATAGATAATGCCCGAGAAGGAGAGAGATATAAAGAACAGAGCGTATACCAAACCCATGTAAGTGGATACGGGCTGCTGTGTAATTTCAGCGAAAATATGAACAAATAGCTGATGGTACGGAATATCAGTGCGGAGAAGAAGGGCCCCTTTCATTTTAAAGGTCCCATCAGGAAAAGGATTTGAAGAATACAAAAATTATAGCCTGAGATGTGAGAAATAACAGCAGAGTGTAATTTTGGTTCCCGTAAGCAAACACCAACAGGGGCAAAACTGGGAGAGTAACATCTGAAGCTCACCCGAAATTACCCTGAGGCCGCGTATATTCCCCGTAAAAAGGCCATGATTGGCAATTGTAAAGATACTTGAAATCCGCAGGTAAGGGTTCCTACGGACTAGAAGGGTTAGAAAAGTCCCCATGCGGAGGCAGTGGAAAATGTTCAAGCAGCGAAGGAACGGTGCGCTGTGGGAAAAAAGGAGTTGCGCAGATGGAGCAGAGGAGAGAGGAAGAGCGGAAGGTGGATCAGTGTCCATTGATGGTTTGGTCCTGCAAAATATTCAGAGATTGCTTCAAGTGTTTCGGAATTCAGAGAGTGTCGTATGGGAGACAATATTGGGAATGGTAGGGG